GATACTTTGTGTCTGGCAGAAGATCCTGTCCAACACCACAGATCTAGTTCTCACCCTCATCACTGCAGATCTAGTTCCTAACCCCATTCTTACTTTCCTTTCAGTTTTAGCTTCTTTTAAATTAGAGATTTCTAAACAACGGACCGATGATCTGGAGCACTTGGTGGTTCCCAAGGTCCATAGTCAGCAGTCTGTAGCAGATCCAGAGATTGCACAGAGCTTTATGTTCACTAGGAATGCCACCAGCCCCATAGCCATTCTTCAACAGCATAAACTGATGTTTCAGATACTTCAGACAGAGCAACAAAACCTGTACCATAATCTCTTTCTTCTTAAATGCAGAAAGCTACTGTACTCCTGTGGTTCCTTGGGAACAAGCTAGTGTCTGAAAATGACTCCCAAAGTTTGGATGCAAAGATGGCACCAAGGACCTGGACTCCACCAGTTCAGAGTAATGAGGAGGTTCCACCTTCTGCTGGGATTAAGATGACTAAACTTGAAGTGGAAATCCAGAATCCTTCCTAAGGAAAGGTAAATGACAAGGTGGTTCTGACCAGTCCAAGTGGGACCTGGTGCTACACCTACACAAACCTCCTAACCTGCCTAGTATATGATGGTCTATGAAGAAAGGAGGGTGAGGTCTTTCATTTCCAGCTCTACTGAGCAGTCTTTTACCTTTATTTTCAGCTCTTTACGATTAAATACGGCAGAAGTTTAATGCCCCACGGAACCCCACTGGCTAACTCACACCCACTGAAGCTCAAGCCTTACAACACATATGCAAATACCAGGCTAGCAGGAGGAGGAAAGCACATTTCCTAGAAAGAAAGTCAGTGCGCAATTAATCACTAAACCCATAATTAGCTCGGGTAATTTGTCAAAGCTAATTAATGTAAAGCTTTGCTGAAAAGCCATCGGTTGGTCTGTGCTTCATTTCTCCTTGCACTTACTAGGAAAGTGGGATTTTTGGACTTCTAGATCAGCCACTTTCTTCTATATTGCCACTATTGCCTGACCCTGCTCTCGGTACCTCCTTACACTTGATGTCTCAATGTTGGAAAGTGGAGCAAATCACTATCTGTAGTGTCAACCAGCTTTGGTTGGCCCCATTTCTTCTAAATAGAGGTAATATGTGTAGATGCTGATGAATCAGCGATAAGACTTTGGACCAGTATATTCCAAAGGGCTCAGCACACACAACTGCAGCCAAATCTGCAGCCAACGAACACTTACAAAAATTGGTCCTGATGGAGGTATCCACATGGAAGCAGACCTCTTATTTGGCCCTAATATGCAGTTTTGGACATTTGAGAATGTGGGGGCAGATCCTCAGTTCATAAAATCTCCTGTAGCTCCCTTGAAGTCAATGGAACAATAACAATTTACACTAGCTGAGTTTCTGCATCCTGGCTGTGAGCTATTTGGAACAACCACACCATAATGATTATTACAGATATTTCAGACCACTTGTCTAAGAGGGAGAGGAGAATATCACTGCATAAGAAAATGAAGAGTTGGTTTGCTATGATTTCCAAAGAATTATTGACCCGTATCTTGCAAACATTTACACATGTTTAGCTTTGTTCATGTGAGCTGTTCCATTACACTTGTGTGCCAGATAAACTAATGTACATGCTTACCAGGACCAAGGTTAAAACTTGTGCAAACACAACGAGTTCTAAATATTTGTATAGATACGTCCAGTTACCTTGGATTCAGACTAGAGAGCAGGTCATTTCACTGTCCCTCTTTTCATAACTCCCCATTTATCCAAGCAGGTATCACAAGAGAAGCCAAATGTGATATCAGGATAAAACTGAGAAAATAAGCAATTATTTGACCAAACTCAGAAGCTAAAAAACACCCACTCGGTCAGGATTAACATATGCAGGGGTTGACATAAGTCCCTGAACAAGGAATTACCTGGGTTACTAAAGTATTTTCACAACAGCTTTCTCCACACAGCTAATGAATCATTCACTTATTGATTTCTCCATAATGAAGTTAACATTTTTCTTCACGGTTTTGATTTATGAGAAGACACAAGCCAGTGAAGAGGAGAAAGAGCTGGGAATCTCTTGGCCATGAGGAGTCTACTTCAGCATCCATCATCATATCAGCAATCACCCCATTTTTCCCACTAAAACTACAAGGTGAGACGGGATCTCCCACACCACCGCGCAGTCTTGCTGCTCGCAAGGACAGAATACAATCCCTGATTTCTTAAACTGAGCTGAGTCTGTTTCCTTGAGGACAAAACACATGTTAACAAGGCGCTGACACCCAGAGACTTTAGTGCACTTCACAAAGGCCATTAATACCTCTGACAACGTGGCAGCATTTGTGAGCTCCATCACACCTGCATCACAGAAGGCTGCAGCCTCAGGAGAGGCAACAGGCGAGGGAGCAGGGACACAAAGAAAGGAAATTACTTTTTCAAGACAGCAAAAGGCAAATTTGAGGCTATAACACAGAGCCCCAGCCCTGATCTCCAATCATTAATAGCTGGCTTTCATCTCTGAAAGACTATTCACCCTTTTTCACACGTGAGCGAACTCCAGGCACTGTGGATACCTGCTGTAAGTGCACAGCAGGATGCTGGCACAGAAGGAATGTGAATTTAAAGTCATGCTTCTCAGAAACCAAGATAAATCAATACTGGTATCCACAAGAAAGGGGAGTTGTTAGTAGCCAGGGCAGCTCTCACGGATGATGTCCCCTGGGAAACCATCTCACCATAGGCCCTCTATGGTGGGAACAGCAAAGTCCTAGATGATATCCTTAGCAAAACAAGGTATCTCAGCACACTTTCCAACCCCAGGATCGCCGATCACTCTAGCTGGAGACACGTCATCACCAGCAACTGTGCAACATCTGACCACTCAGACGACAAAAGACAGATTCCCAGAATGAGCAGAGCAGGATTAAGCCAAGTGGTAAATGGATTCCAGGGCTGCTCCAGAATCCATGCTGACGAGGGAAGCCAGTGCCAGGTAGCCAATCCGGAGCTCATATGGCAAGGTTATCAATTCCCTCTTTTCTTCAAATCCCTAAATAGAACCCAAACATCGCTTGGGCCATGTTAGAGAGATAAGGTGAGTCTCTCCCATCCCTTGCAAAGCTTGAAATAGAAGTCCTGCTACTCTCCAAGCATTAGGCGTAGGATGTTGACATTTAGCAGTAGGGAAAATTACCCAAACAATGAACCCTCTCAGGTCTCTTTTCTCCCCTCCCTTCCCCAGTCCCCTGGAAAATGTTCATAAAGTGAAGTGGAAAAAAATAACCAACAAACCCAAACCAACCCCAGCCCCAAGAACCAACCCCCAACCTTCCTAAGGCTGGAAATAACATGCAGAGAAGAGTGAGTCAGGCTCTGCTAACTGCACAAGGGTCACCGGTCCTGAAGGCAGAGATGATTCACCATGGCAGCAAGAACAAGAAGGTAGAAGAGACTCAAAAGAGAGGGTGGAAAGAAAGAAGAGGAGGAACTAAGCTACGAAAAGGTTCTGGGTTGCATATACCTTTGTGTTTATTGAACACCACTCAAATGGAATTGACCCTGGGTAAGTCACTTGATAGTGGTGACATTATTCCCTTTGTGCTTTAGCCAGACTTTCTTTATGAGAAGGAGGGCAAACAGGCTCCAAGACCTCAATCCATCCCCATCCTCTGGTCCTCCTTCTCTTCTTCCCCTGTCTGAGATGCTCAGTGAAGCCTCGATTTCCTGCTGCCTCTGCTTCCACTGCTCATTTCTTTTGCCTGTTCCCTTTCAATTCAGCAGCATTAGGGAACTGTTTTCCCTATAAAGGATGTCTTCAAGATGAGAAAAGCAGGACCTGCTCAAGAGCACAGCATGCCATAGGAAGGCCCTCCAGGATGCCACTGGCACAGAAAGTATATTGTCAGAAGAGATGGAGAGAAGGATGGGGCTCAGGTGCCTGGGGAGAATCCTGCCTGCCAGAAAGCTCTCCTGCTATTCCTCCATTCATCCTTCTTCCTCATCTTCCCCTTGTTTTTATCTAATAACCGTAAGAATTCAAACACAAAAAACTTGCTCTGGAAAAGTCCTAAAAAAAAAAATAAATAAATAAAAAACCCAACAAAAAACCCCCAAAACCCTCCCTCTAAAGTTCACAATGAGAGCTGTAAAATTGTTTCTGCTTGGAAAATTCTCCTGGTCAGTTTTTCCTACTGTTTAATCCCCGCTTTGAGTTACACAGAATGAGTAAACACATTTTATAAGGTTCTAATTCATACCTAACCCATACAGTTTATAGCTTAACATAGTAAAATACACACACACGCACTTTTTATACATATATATCTCTCTCTATATATACACACCCCTCCACTCACACACACATGCCTAAAACAGCCTTGGTCCCACTCCTGCAAGCCTCCCACTGATTGTTCCGGCATGTGCTGTGCTATGGAAGCAGCCTGGCATGCTTAGGTGTGAGTTTGCTGGCCTGGGGAGTAGTTTCCACTCCAGATTCCTGCAACCTCCTTTGTAATAAGTAATTAGTCAGTCTCTTTAAGGGAACAGCGGGATCCACCACTCCATCCTTGGAGGACTAAGGAACGCCACCACGTGGTATCCCAGGACTTGGAGCAAAGCCCCGTGGTTGGGCTGGAGGAGCTGTGGGAGCAAGGATGTGTCTGTCTGAAAGGCAGCTTTCTGCTGGCAGTGATTAGAGGAAACCTGAAGGTGGGAACTGGGACGAAAGTGGCCCATGGTGTGAACACCACCAGTGGTTGCTCTGGAGGAAGGCAGGCAGCCCTCGTGTCAAACCTCTCCGTGTGCTAGTGGGTTAGGGTCAGCGCTGATGTCCTTGTCCTATGCCAGCCTCAGCATTGAGCTGCAGGAGGGGTAGTTCTTTCTCTGCATTGAAACTATGTCCTTCAGCTTTGCTTGCGACCATGGATACAGACCAGTAATGATGTGTTGTGGATAGCACAATAACTGAACCTCAACTGCCACTCCAGAAGTTTGAGAGCAAGCCACCACAACCCAACTTTACCTCCCTGGAGACAGAGCTGACCAGTTCACCCAGTTAGACCTGGGCTATGCCTCAGGTCTCTCTGCTTCTTCAGCCTTTAACCCAGTGTGGGCAGGGGAGATGGAGTCCTTTTAACTAGTAGTTAACAAGCTAATATCATGAAGGAAAAATACACTGCCTGGCACAGGGAGCTTGTGAACAAGAGCACACCCCAACAGTCCACAAGGAGGTTTACCTTACCATTTCTGATGTGTGCTTCTGGTACTCCCAAGCATCCTCAAGGCAAACACTGTGCACATCAGACCAAAACCATAGCAACAACACCCCCAGACGCTGCACAGGGGGAACCTTCTAAACATTTTGAGCTGCCAGTGGCTTTGAACTTGGCTGTAACCTGAAGGTAGGAGAACTTTGCAACTACTGACTAAGGAATTGCCTCTCCCATTGCTCTGATGAAGGTGGTTTCTCTTAAGCATTTGTGCTTCGGGTTTTCCCACAACAGCTTGCTATTAAATTAAACACAGTATCTCATACAGTCCCATACTTCTGCCATAGAGAATAACTGTGACTGAAGTACCAGTTCTGCTACACCTCTGCAAGACCACACCAACAGATCATTTCCAAAGAAAACCAAAGAAAAAGTGGGAAAAAATGTAACCCCCATCAAAAGACTGGGGTCAACTGGAAACCTGCACTGCAACAACACAATCACCTGGTCTAAGTGTTCTCAACTTTATCTTCTCGCCCTCCAGCACAGCTTCTGCTCAAGCTCTCAGGAAGGCAAATCCCAAAGCAGGAATGAGTTGAACCTTGAAGTCACTCTTTAAAGTAAGGGTTACCCTGCATCCTTTAAGCCTTTAAGCAGCCTTGCACTAAAGCCACCTCCCAGGTGGGAGTTTGTCTCTAAAGATCATGCTCCAGGTCTCTGCTAGCAACCATGGCTACAACTACTTGAACCATGTCCCTAGGGGAGTGAGCGCCATCACCATCTCATCTCTTCTCTCTTTATTCCTTCTGCCTGATGCTCCTGTTAAAACCAAGATTTCTATTTTTCAAGTGTAAAGATTGCCTCAAAGACTCAATCTGTTTTTTTTCTGGGAGCTTATTTTGATACGCTGTCCCTCCAAAGGTGCAGCAAAGCACTCCAGGTCATCAAGGTGAAATCAGGGGCATCATTCAAGCCTACTCTGGCCAGCCCTGTGCTAACCTGTCACTTGAAGTCACGGACAAAAGCCATCACTCAAACTAGCAAGTTTGAAGCTGCTCCTGGCCACACTAAATGTAAGATGTGGGTTTCAGGCCCCCAAATGCTATTTTCATTTTCCTCCTCCTCCAAGAAAATAAAGCGAGTGTTTATTTCCTGAATGCTCTGGTCTGAGAAAGGGCAAAACTTTCCTGCGGGAGCCAGGTGGCTGGAAAGGGGAGGCACAGACAAATATTTGCCGAATTTGTCAATGAGCTCTTATTCCATATTTCTTATTAATATTTATTTAGCCATAATGTGAGAGAAACCTGCTCAGACCACAGCAATGTGGGAGATTCCACTGTTATTCTCCTCCTGGCAGCTACTGGCGGGGAGGGAGGAGAGGAGGGAAAACAAAGACAGAGTGTCAGGGAGTTCACAAGCAATTTAGAGCAAGTCACGGGCTCTTGTCTTAGCAGAAGATGGGATGCCTTGAGAAAATCAATGCATCTGTGGACCATGCAACGGGTCAAGGAGGTTGAATAGCTCAGCCTTCCTTGCTGATATTCAAGGCACAGGTGTAGCTTGGAGAAAGAAAATGATCTCATCCTACAGCCCTCTTTTTCCTTTTCTTTTAAAGGAAGGAATCCTTAATGACATGGAGACAAGAAGAATAAACTGCAAGCCCAGGTTTAGTAAATTGTGTGAGATGAACCTGATGCATTTCTTCAATGAGACAGTTCATTCCCTAGACATGAGAAGTGTGGTACAATCTCATTTATCTGGGTATCAAGGGGCACCACAACATGACATGGGCAATTATCAGGTAAGCTTGAAAAGGTGGGAATTAGCAGAAGAATTATAGAGAAGGTAAGGAACTGAGTAATGGACAAATGAACAAATGAACACAGGCTGTGCTGAAAAGAGGGTGATGGGAACTGAGTTATAACTAACAAGGTTCTTCAATAATCAGGCTTGTAATTCATTTTATTTCTCACTCGAAACAGTGGTGATTTAAGCGCTGAATGAAGTGGAATGCATTATTAGTGCACAGGAGATCAGAGGCTCAGTCAAAGCAAATTAAAAGATCTTGAGGGCTGTAGTAATACAAGCAGAAGGAATTTTAATATTTAAAAATGCAAAGTAACTTAAAGATGGACATTAAAATAGTGCTTTTGTTAGCAGGGACCCCTGCAGATAGAAACAAAGGAGGAGGAGGAGAAATGCCTGGATGCACTGGCTGGTCACAGTACAACTACGTGTTGTCGTTGGATGACAGCTGGAGAAAAAGGAAAGGAGATTCTTGGAACAGCTTAGAAAGGCTCCTCCAGTTGAAATACAGAATAATCAAATCCTGCTCATGGCAGTGAGGTTTGAACTGTATCATCTCAAGGTCCTTTCCAACCCAAACTGTTCTATGATTCTATGACTCTTTTGATAGCGAAAGGCTGCATATGGTGGCCCACTACCTGACTTGCCATCAGAGAAGCTCAAAAAGTCTCCAGCCCATCCTCCTCAAAGCAAGGCCAGGGGCATGGTTGCTCAGGGCTTTATCCAGTTGAATTCTGAGTATCTCCTGGGAGTCCTCCAAGAACCACAAAGCTGGTGTATAAATAATCACTGCTTGAAGCAGAAATCCCACTGGACTGCGGTGTCCAGGAGGAAAGACCTGGATGGAACAAGTTGCCCAGAGAAGCTGTGGCTGCCCCATCCCTGGCAGTGTTCAAGGCCAGGCTGAATACAGGGGCTTGGAGCAACCTGCTCTAGTGAAAGGTGTCCCTGCCTGTCGCAGGAGGCTGGGAATGGATGAGCTTTAAGGTCCTTTCCAACCCAAAACGTTCCATGTTTCTATGAGTTTCTGCAGGGCTTCAAAGCCCCAGCACTGCTGCCTCCAAAAACCAGAGGAAGGGCTGTGAGCATGTCCCCTGTTGCCCTCCACTGGACAGAAGGAGAATGTCACACTTCCGTGTCACATCTGAGGACAGCACATCCTAAAAGCATCTCCTCTTTCAGCTGGGGTAAGAGTCTGCGCTCTGGGAATAGAGCAGCTGAACTCTAGCTCTGTTTTTGCTCTGTCTCATGTAGCAACAGCTGGGGGACATAGGTTTGCTCAAACCACAGCCAGACGATTGGAAATAAAAACGATATTCATATATTAATTAACATCTGGTGACTTGTCTCATTACACGATACAATGTGCCTGAGCTGTTTGTTCCCTTCATATTTTATGCATTGAATGAAAACTAAACAAATGTTGCAAACGCACAAAAAACAACTCAAACGCTACCCAAGTTTGCACTTCTAACACTTACTGACACATCAGCTTAATTAACATGTAAAGAAGGCCATGACTAACCCATTACATGAAGATGGTGGTGACACCAAGCTGGAATTAACAACCTGGCTCATTTTTCATTAAACTGGGTTTCCCTTTACACATATTCTTCAGACAAAAAACCCATCAAGTCATAATTTGTTCAACTGAGCAGTTCAGGGCCTGATTTAGCAAATTATTACTTACCCGTTCTCAAAAACCACTTTTAATGAAAACTGGCCCTAAACATTTCAGCTGGAGCATAAAGCACCATCCCAAAGGAACAGAGCTGATGTCACCCGGCCTGTGCCACACAGCTGCTGCTTGCTGCCACATTTTGGGGACAGAAAGGAAGAAAGAAGGAGAGGGAAGGAAAGCCAGCTTAATTAAGAGAAGTCATCACTCAGGTTGCCTGGCAGTAATACATTACCCTGTGTGTGTGGCCGTCCCCATGGGGTTGGTGGTAGATGCCTGGTGGCCATCAGTGAGGTGGCAGGGCTGATGTGCATCTGTGTGAGGATGTGGAGAAAGGAATGGAAAAGCTGGAGGCTTGGCCTGGCACTCGGTTCCAGGTTATGCTTGGGGGTTTTGAGACAGGGGCATTGAGAGGGGAGGCAGAGGGGGGAGCAGAGCCCCTCTTCCTTCCACAAATGACCTGGGGGAAATAGATGCCCAATAAAATATGCCAGGCTCTTACAGGATTAGCCACATTCTTAAAGAGGCTGAAGGCTTCACTAAAAACACAACAACAAAACAACCCCAGGCTCACAAACTCTTTTCTGAACAGGAAGAGTGGAGTAAGAGGAGCTTTGGGGCTCACAGAGGTAGAAAGTCATGGGGTTTTGGGAAGCAGCTCGCACAGAAGCACAACTCCTCAGCACTCATGTGCAACCAGGTCAAAACCACGGCTCTGTTTGATACTGATGCCACAGAGGGAACATAAAGCAGCTGCTCACCTTTTGGGTGGCCTGGTGCCCATGCTGGAAGCCTCTTGCCAGCCCAGTGGATAGGTACAACTGGGTGCAACTGGGACACGAGCACACATCTCAGATGTGAGCTCTGAAGGGTTAATACCACTGACCAGCAGCCGGTGTCACCCTCATTTTGCTAAAAGGGACCAAAAGCAGAGAGGATTCCTCTCCTCATTCCAGTTTCCCATCTTCCCAAAGGGCATCCCAACCCCACCAGCACTGCCGTGATGCTGGTGATCCAGTTCCCCCAGCTCATCCCACCGCAGCATCTTTGTAAAGGTGACTGGGCAGGGTCCCCCATAACAGTGATTTGATGGTTAGCATGCAGACTCCCATAACCCAATATGGACACTGCCATCTGTTACTCCATCCCTGCAAGCAGAGCAGGTAGCATGGCCTCAGCATGCTGAGGCACTTTCCATACGCTCAGTTCCTACGCCACTGCCAAACTTCAACTGTTTGGGTTGAAATTTTCCACACTGGGTATCTGCCTCGGGCTGACTTTTGTTTGGAAAGTTCCAGATAAAACAACTCCAGCCAATTCCAACAAAGCAGCTCAGGAAAAAAATACACTTCTCCTCATGTTAAGAAAAAAAAAATAAAAAAAAAACCCCAAACTAACTTACAACTTTAGTTGTGAAACCCCAATGTTCAGAGCAGGGACTTGGCATTTGGCATGGGGTGGTCACTGTGTTAACCACATAGCTTAGTTGCCCCTGTAGTGATTCCATTTCAACTGGCATCATTGCCAAGCCAGCAGTGCTCAGTGTGCAGACACTCCACAGAGGGATCCTTTAACTTCTCCTGAGCTCCCTGAGATGCTTCAGCCCTTCCCAGCTCCTGAACTGGACCACACCAAGCAGACATCCCTCCTGAAGGGTGGGTATGTCCCAGCCAAAAGGCAGCTTTGTCACTATTTAAGGACTGAAAAGCATTTCTTAATGCTTCCCAAGTGCCTGGTGCCTGCTGCATCCCAAGGAAAAGCCAACATGTGCATTAAGTGCTAATGCAACAGTAGGGCAGAAAGAGCAGAGAGCAATGCAGGGGCTGCAGGTGATGCTCTGCTGGGTCTTGAAGAGGCCTTACAAGAACTCCACAGGTGAATGAATGCACACAGAGATCTCACTGTATGAAGAAGAGCCTGAATTAAAGGGCTTCAGCTGCCTCCTGCAGAAATGCACTGGGGAACATCAGTCACTACTGTGGGGCAGAATTTAGGTCTTATAAAGGAAAAACAGAAGAAAGAAAACAATAAAAACCAGTCACAAAGTGATAGAGAAGTTTCTTGGCAAATTGCATAGGAATAAACCTCACTTCCTGGTTTTAGTGCACTGGGGTTTTCTTATTATCAACGAGGATGTGTCCAGGCCTAAGGATATAGCTAAACCATCACGGAAACAACCAGTCTCATAGGCAGGCTTCTACCATACACACATTCAACGAGGCATAACTGAAATGTGAACACGGGCTGAGCTTCGGGAAGGAGGACATCCCACAGGTCTACCTTTCCATCCAACTGTGATCAGTTGTAGTCAATACAACCCACCAATACATCTCCTGCAGGGCCACATGGACACTGGTACATGGGAGCTTGTACCCACAGGCTAAAAGCCTATCACTCTGGCCAGTGGACACTAACTGGGCTGGAAACCCAGGCAACTAGCAATGCTCAAGCCAACCCTTATCCCCAGGGCTGTGTGCTTCTATTCTACCTTCTCCAAATGGGAATAACAAGATTTCTCTGCCCCATAGAGAGTTTCTGAGAACAAAAACCATAAAACATTATAAAATACTGCTAGAGTAACACCTCAGGTACAGTAAAAAGGCAGACTTTCATCAGTTAGAGCACCCCACTCCCCTCACTCAAGCTCTTAACACCATCTAGCACCAAGTGAGGCTTACATCTCCCTCCCTAAAGGAGAACATTGGTAGGTAAGACACTTGGTAGGTAAGAGCTCTTCCTTTATCTCTGCCTGCTCCATAGTCTTCAATTGTTTCAGTCTTCAGCTACTGCCCTCTGATCCTTCACCAACATCAGGAAGCGTGCCAGGAGGAAGGAACAGAAAGAAACCCAGAGGAGACAGCAGTCATGTGAAACTGTGGCATGAATGGCGCAACCGGTTGCATGTCAGGGGGCTTGGGAAGGGGTGGTGGGAGCTGGCAGGGTGGGCAGTTGCTCAAAGGAAACCACAGAGGACTTGACCAAGCACTTGAAAGATTCCATGCATACCTCCCAGATATACCAGCGCGTTACGAAACCCCTGCCAGGATTGGGTGGCGGCATGCACTTGGAATAGACAAAAAAGGGGAAAAAGAAGAAAAGAAAAGGAAAAATCAAAATCCCAAACAACCATTCATGGGCTACAGAGAAGGCTGCAAATCGTCTGCTTTAACGAGACGCCGCAGGCATTGCTCCCTTGGAATTTGGGCTATGTTTGCGGTCCATGAGGAGACTTGCGAAGCCTTTGGTCACATTTAAGCAACATTACATGATAATGCTGCAGCCCTTTCAGGCTGAGGGAGAAGGAAAACAAAACAGATGGAAAGACATTGCTGTAAACCTGGGAGGGAGAAGAACATTCCTCCGGATACTCTTTTTGGCTGGTTGTGTCTTCCCCTTGTGCCTCCCACCTCTTTCTCCCTTTTTTCCCCTCTCCTCCTCTTGCAGAATTGGTGACAGCAAGTGTTTTCTTTTGCTAATATTTCCATATTAAATAGAAAGGAAGAGTGTGAAAGGCTACGCAGCGTGGTGGCAGCTAGACAGTGGAATCTGCAACTGAAGGGTGGAGTTGGAGCACTGGAGAGGTGCCGGTTATTTATAGGGTATGAGAGAACACAAGAAATGTCTGGCCCCTTTAAGGCCCCTTAATCCAAACAACCAATGGAAAGAAAAAAAAAAAAAAAGGGAAAAAAGAAGAAAAATGGGAAAGAAAAAAATATATAAGGAGAAAAGGCATCTCTGCACCAGACTGCAAAGTGTGAAGGAAGATGGGGTGACGGCCTGGCAGGGTCCTGCTCATCCCTGAAGGCAGATCTGTGCCCATGGCCCTCAGTGCTGCAGGGCAGCACCGTGCTCGGGCAGAGGGATGGTGTTGGAGCTTTGTGCTCCCCAGGCAGCCCCAAGATGCAGCTGCCTGGAGGGTGGGACAGGGCAGCTGTTTAAGCCATGATACAGCAGCGCTGGACGGGAAGCAGGGATGAGCAGTGCAGTCAAGAGGAATCAAAAGGGAGAAGCTGAGTGTGTCGGGAATATGGGCTGGAAACTCCCTTTCTTCAGTCAGCATTTATGGAGCAACCAGGGATCCTTGTGATCTGATCTGAGAAGATGAGACTATGAGATGTGCCTGTCCATTGTCCTCATTCACTTTGGGATACATAAAGTAGA